CCCTAGAATGCAAGCCAAGGCTCTATACTGCCGATCTGCACCATTTTTGAAAAGTGGGCGGGGTTCTTCAAAGTGGGCGGAGCCTCTCACAGTGGGCGGGGCTTCGTGGAGCAGTCCAAAAATGCAAAAATTTTGAAAAAATATCAAAATTCCGCAAAAAGCAAGTGGGCGTGGCCAAGGGGCGGAGCCTGAATTGCCGGAGCATGAATGCGCGGTTACGAGTATCTTCGCTGTGCAAAGAGTGGATGTGAAATTAAAAAGTTGAAAAAGTTATGAAATTTCGAAGTTCGCAACAAACCCTTTAAAGACTGGGCGGAGTCGGCCATGTGTTGAAAATCTATGTCCGCGCTGACAAGTAGGCGTGACCGTCGAGGCAGGGTTCGCAGTGGTGTCTGGCGTGATCTGGTGGGTGAACTGCCCGGTCTAAAAAGAGTGGTGAATTTGGTTTGAAAAGTGGTGAATTTGAAGTGAAAATGGTATAAATAACGACTCATATGAATGTCTACACTAAAGCCCACAAAAAGCATTTATTAGATTCTAGCACATCACATCACGCTGCCTCATAGATATTCGAAAAGGTCGCATAACTTACACCTGTATGAATGAAAAATTGAAGTAAAGACTGCCTTTACATACACATAACGTGGCGAAGCTGCCGAGCAGTGATGCACGGCGGATTGGTAAGCAACAGCAAACAACATTGTACAACATTACACTATAATAATGATGATAACAAGCTTATCGATAAACCGCAATTATCTTTAACTTTGGAAGAGAGCATGAACGAATTGCTCGTAATCGAGACCTCCTTGGATTGAGCGACCAGAAATCGCATCCGTGTACGGCTTCATCCTCTTGATACAGTACTCGGCTTGTTCCGTGGTGAGGTTCTAAAATGTAAAATATGTAGAAAATTTGCTAGCACTAGTATATCGGACAACAGAGCGCTACTGGTACTACAGTCTTGCTGGGGCGTGTCAAGGTGCTGGGATTGGCGCGATGCCAGCCCGCTTCCCACCAGTTTTTGTTGCTTGCCCCGCTTCAACAATTGACACGCCTCAGCATCCACAGCGAACAAAACTGTATGCGACTCTTTCTTTGGAAAGCCTTACCGCGCTGACTTCAACAGACAAACTCCTGCTTACCGCGTAAAGCTCCTCGGCAGTAACATAGGGACGGAATTCCTTGGAAAGGGCACGGAACGCCATCTCGATCTCCTCGGATGACTGGATGTTCTCGGTTTCTTTGCTGATCATAAACGCCATATATTCTTGTAATGTGACGTAACCGTCACGGTTTGGATCAACAATATCGAGGATGCGATTGAATTCTGGCTCAGGCTGGCCCTCATCCACCATCGGAAGATCGTAGCCAAGCGCTCGCAGGCAACTCTTGAATTGTTGGTGATCCAGACGTCCAGATTTCTCCTGAATAATCAATCCATGGACAGCTCTCCAGAAATATTGTCAAAAATGAGATGAAATCACTAACCTTGTCGAAGTGCTTGAACATCATCGAGAACTCGCGCAACGCCTCTTCCGTGACACCAGATTGATTACGGGCTTGTATTTGCTGTTCCAGATTATGCTGCATTCGCATAGCAAGCTGATCAAGTTGGTCCCAAGCTTGGGCTAGGCCGACCGTTGAGTGTTCAGTGTACCTTAATAACCAGCATTATTATTTGAGGTATGTGACAAGACAATCGTGCTCCGCCACGTTGGTGGGCGCCGTGTGCGATGTCGCGCCTGTGAGCGGCGATGTTTCTAGGCCAGTAAATGGCCGCAGTAAAGGATTTGTAACCAAAAATCACCCCATATAT